TATATATACATACACATATATATATATATATGTATATACATATATATATATATATATATATATATATATATATATATATATATAAAAAAAGAAATACATCAACAGCAGAAAACATAAGAGGCGACCTTCGGACCATCCTGCCACCGTGCCTGGGTTGCGGGTTCGAAGCCCAGTGAATAATGTTCGTTGGGTTCTCGTGGAAGGCCTCCCGGGAGCCGCTTGGAGGCAGTTCGGACGCCTCTTGGGGGCCGTTTTGGGACCTCGTTGGGGCCTCTTGGGGGCCTGTTGGAGCCTCTTGGGGGCCTCGTTGGGCCTCCTGGGCGCCTCTTAGGGCCTCATGCGGGCCTCTTGGAGCGGAAGGCTCGGATTTTTGGTTAGTGTTCCCTCCCTTTGGGGCCGTCTTGGGGCCCTCTTGGGCCGTTTCGGGGCCCTCTTGGAGGCCTCTTGGGTTGTCTTGGGCTATGTTGGGGCGGTCGTGGGGGCCTCTTAGCAGAATAGGCGAGAACGCCCAAACTCGGCAAAAACCCAAGGGACAATGATTATTGTATTCTCTCTGGGCTGTCTTGGGTGGTCTCTTGGGAGGCCTCTTTGGGCGTATCGGAGGCCTCTTGGGCCGTCTGGGGGCCATCTTGAGCGTCTTTGAGCGAACACTCGGCGATTCGGGGCCCTCTTGGACCGTCGCGGGGGCTTCTTAGGGCCCTCGTGGCCCGGAAAATTGATGCGAGAACACTTCCCCGAACCCAGGAGGCACGCGGGAAGCCTCAAGAGATTGCGGCTCTCGGGGTCCGGGCAAGACCCTTCAGGAGTGAGGACTGAGGCTTTGATAATCAAAGGACGCGAAGATCGGGACAAAATCGGATCGGGATAACTCGAAATCTCTGAGAATCGGCGGGTTTGGAGGATGTATTGGGCGCGCGGCCGCTCCAGAGCGTTCTGGAACGCTCTGAGAGCGCTCCGGAACGCTCTGGAGCGATTTATCCCGATCCTAGCCCTGTTTTAAGTGAGGACTGAGGCTTAGAGAATTTGGCAAAGGACCTGAGGACACGCCCACTGCGTGCCCAGAGGCACGGCGGCGGACGCAATTCGGGAACTCGCGTGAAACAGCATGCGTATGCCATAGGACACGTCAAGAAGCGATGGCCTGGGTAAGAGACGACGCCGTCAGAGGTTTCTGGGAGACGGTAGCTGCTGGCGGTCATTAGAGCGATGTTCCGCTGCTGGCGGCCATTACTGCTGGGACCCCCAGCTTACACGCTGAGATGAGGAAAAGGATGGAGGTGCGGAGGAGCGCTTTGCCTAAAGCCAGGTGGGCACATTCCTTGGCTTTCTGCGACAGCTCACCCCCTGCAGCAGTTCGGGTGATCTGAGCGGTCTCGCACGGGGTCCCGCCTGGTCCTTTGGTGCGGGGTTGTGTCTCACAGCGCTCCAGGTCTCGCAGGGTGGTCGGCCAGGACTCCGCGCACCCACCCGTCTTCCATAAGACGGAGCCAGTATTACACAATGGGCAGATCGGACAGACTCCCAGTGTGTGGGCCAGTGAGTGAGATCAATGGAAACACACCGCAACAACATGAATCGGAGACTGTTCGGTCAGTTGGTCAACCCACACCTGGAGATCGCCTTCCCTCGTCTGGCCCGAAAACAGATGCAGGAAATAGCCATGCTGGCGAGCGGAGCGGGGAGGGTTGATGGCAAATGGTGAGCCAGCCAGCAAGGGGGGGTGGGCAGATAAGGCTCCAGCACGGGGATGTCCAATGTCCAAACCTTCGCCCTACAGTACGAGGGGGCAACCATCCGCGATGCCCGGCGGTGGGCGAAATCGTCAGTAAGAGTTTTGGCACAGTAGCGGCTTTGCTCCGTATGCCTGGTTTCTCGAGTTTCTGGAATCTCTTCGGAGAAGGGAGGGGGGGCAACTGTAACGAGACCACGAAACCAGGGTCTGACCCGAGCGAGGCATTTGTAGATCCAGCCGTCTGCATGGAAAAATCCCGCCCACAAATCAGCCACCGCGTGCCAGGGCTGATTCTTGTGTGTGGGTGGGTCTTCTGCTCTCTCCTTCCCCCCCGCCCGGCTGGGCGCGGCCGCCTGCGCCTGTTCTCACCACGGCCCTTCTGGGGCAGCGCCCCGTGGGAACGCCTGGCACTATGACTCTACAGGCTTGCTCCACGTCCGCCGACCCCTTCTGTGAGCGTTGCGGGGCCAGGAGTGTCTGGCCGGCGGCGTCTTGTGTGAGGGTGCGGTGTCGCGCGCGGGTGGTGGCAGATACGTAGGGGGGCCAAATATGTTTGCGTGATGCCGGTGGTCTGGGGCGTGTTTTTCCGAGCGCCCTGCGTGCTGTGCACCCGGGTGCGGGGCGTCCTTCTGGGAGGTCGGCCTTTCGACCCGCAACCAAGTGGAGGACCACCGGAAGACGAAAGCAGGAGTCGTGTGCGGAAGGTGTGATCAGCGAGGCACCACCGCGAAAGATGTGGCAGATTAGTCGGAACGGGTGAAGAAGCTGTTGACGTTCGCAGCGCGCACGAAGCAGTTCGCGCGGCAACAACACATTAGCGCCGAGCAAGATAGTGAGCACGTCGCGAGGAAGAGTAAGGCTGTACGCGCGGAGTGCATTGCAGTTGGCTTGACGGCTTGCAATACGGAGGCGGGGGCCTCTTGGGGGCTCCTTGGGGCGTCTTGGCGGCCTTTTGGGGGCCTCTGGCGGCCTCTTGGGGTACTCTTGGGGCCCCCTGGACCTCGTGGGGGCGGAAAGCTAGATGTTTGAATTGTTGGTTGCCCTCTTGGGCCCGTCTTGGAGCCTTCTTGGGCCGTCTTGGGGACCTCTTGGGCCGTCTTGGGGCCATCTTGGGCCGTCGTGGGGCCGTCTTGGGGGCCTCCTGTGCGGTCTTAGGGCGGTTTTCGGGGCCTCTTGGGCCGTCTTGGAGCGTCGGAAAGCCCACGAGGCGAATTTGTGAAATTATACGTTTTACGATGGAAATTAACAAATGTCTGCGTCCAGGGACCCCCTTGGGACGCATATTGGAGGCCTCTTGGGGGCGTCTTGAGCCATCTGGAGGCCCTCTCGGGTGTCTTCGATCGCTCTTGGACCGTGCGGGACCGTGTTGAGCTCTCTTGGAAGCCATTTGGAGCGCTCCTGTAGCGCTCTTGGGGCCCGTCTTCGGGGTTCTCTTGGGCCGTCTTCGGCGCCTCTGGAGCCGTCTTGGCGCCCTCTTGGGCTGTGTTGGTGCCCTATTTGGGTTTTTTGGGGCCGTTTTGGGGCGGTCTTGGGGGCCTCTTGGGCCGTCTGGGAGCGTCGGGGAGCCCAAAAGGCGATATGTTGTATGAAAAAACGTACGTTGTACGAAGGGGACGGGCCAACGTTTGCGTCTAGAGGCTTTCTTGGGACGCATCTTGGATGCCTCTTGGGGCCTCTTGGGGGCATCTTGGGCCGTCTGGAGGCCATCTGCGGTGTCTTTGATCGCTTTTGGACCGTCTGGGGCCATATCGGGTTCTCTTGGAGGCCGCTTGGAGCGTTCCTGGAGCGTTCTTGGGGCCGTCTTTGGGGCCCTTTTGGGCCGTTTTGGACGCCTGTTGGGCCGTCTTGGTGCCCTCTTGGGCTATCTTGGGACCCTCTTGGAGGCTTCTTGGGCCGTCTTGGGGCGGTCTTCGGGGCCTCTTGGGCCGTCTGGGGAGCATCGGAAAGCCCAGAAGGCGAATGTGTGAAACTTGTATGTTTTACGGCGGCAATGGGCCAATTTTGCGTCTAGGGACCCTCTTGGGACGCATCTTGGAGGCATCTTGGGGCCTCGTGGGCGCCTCTTGGGCCGTCTAGGAGGCCTCTTAGCCCGTCTTTGGGCCATCTTGGGCGTCTTGGAGCACTCGTTTGGCGTCTCGGGGCCCTCGTGGGCCGTCTTGGAGGCCTCTTGGGGCCTTCTTGGACCGTCGCGTGGGCCCGTTTGTGCGCTTTTGGCCCGTTTCGGGACCTTCTGCTCCCCCATGGCGCGTTCGGCGGTGGATGCCCCGGGGCCGGGGGGGGGGTCAAATCTCCGGTTTAGGGTCCCTGAGGGGGGGGGTGATGGGGGGGAACTATCTCACACGCCTCGAGACCCACAAGAGGTCGGCGGATGTCCCAACCTATTGTAGCCTTAATCACTAGAGGGAGTTTCGAGACCAAAAGAGCACCGAAATTTGAGGGTTTTCACGTGTCGGGCTCTGGGAGGCGATACTCGGCCGACACCGTTTCGATACTCTTTCTGGGTGCTCGAACTCATTTTCCGGGATGTGGATCTATTGTTAGGTACGATGGGGGCAACATAAGCCTGGCAAGCCATTCCACGACCCGCGCAGGGGCCGCCGAGGAGCGCTCTTCCCCCATGGCCCCGAGGCGCGAACGCCACGAAGCGCGCTGCAAGCCGCGGCATCCTCCCTGCAGCACGGCCCGCGCAGTGCGGGCGAGCCACGCCCTCATCGCCACGCCCTTCTTTCGACCCCGCGTAGGAGTGACCCTTCGCCGGAGTGACCTTTGGTGCGGGCTCCTCGGGATCCCCCCGATCGCCGCGCTCGATGCGACAGCGGCTGCTTGCGCGCTCGGATTTGGCCACATTGCGCCCCCTTGGTCCGCGCAGGCAGGGTCACTTTTGCCCAGGGTCAGCCGATTCCTGCTTTTTCCAGTCGGGGTCGTGTTTGACCGCGCCAGGGGGGGAGGGGGCCTCCCGTCAGCGTGAGGTTGGCCAAGGCGGGGCTAGTACTGGCCGAGCCCAGACACCTGCGTCCGAAATGTTTCGATATCTCCCTCTTCCTCCTCCTCTTCCTCCTCCTCTTCCTCCTTCTCCTCCTCCTCCTCCCACCCCTCCTCCTCCTCCTCCTCCTCCTCCTCCTCCTCCTCCTCCTCCTCCTCCTCCTCCTGCCCATCCTCCCTGCTCCTCGCCTCCTCTTCGCCCTCTTGCGCTTCCTCCCTCCTCCCCACCCCCTCTGCCTCCGCCCTGCTTCTCTTCCCCGTGTTGCCTTCCCCGTCCTCCCCGGAGGCGCGAACACGCTGGACGGATCATCGGGTTCGCCCGTCCTCGTCCTGCGGGAGGGGGGCGCCTGCGTGGTCGCGGGCCTGCACCAGGACTTTGCGGCGGCGGGGGATACTTAAGTCGGGCACGTCCACGTCCCTCCAAAGGAGGAGTATGAGAACATAGTCAAACAAAAACATGGGGACGATGTTTGGTATGCTTGATCATGTTTGATGTTTCGTCCAAAATCCACCTGTAGGGGGACACGCCCGACCTAATGGTACACGTGCGACGCGGGTTCGGAAAGTCCCTTGCCCCTGCGAGACCAGCGAGGCTGGTGAGGCCGATCGAGGGCCATCTCCTCCTCCTTCTCCTTCTTCCTCCCCCTCCTCCCCCTCCTCCCCCTCCTCCTCCTCCTCCTCTCCTCCCTCCTCCCTCCTCCCTCCTCTTCTTGAATCTCGGGTCGACCAGTGGCCTCCGGGATAGCCGCTGGGTCGTGCTGGTTGGACGCATATTGGGGCCTTGGCGATTCCCGCGACGCCAAGACGGCTTCGATCTCGGCGCGGTGCCCTGTACTGCGCAGGAGACTGCAGGGCCATAGCGACGGCCGTGTTCAATGTCGGGCCAGGCGAAAGGGGGGGATTGGGAAAGGGGGGGTTACGAAATTTGCTGCATGCAGCTGGTTTCGGCCTCACCGAGGGGCCCATTCCTCGATACATGGCCGCCTCCGGCGCCGGGAGGCGCCGGGAAAATCAGCTACGTGAGCTGATTCTCAAACCCCCCCTTTGCTATCCCCCCCTTTCGCCCGACCCGACAATGCCGGCTTCCAGCATTGCAAGGGCCTGAGCATCTACTCCAGATTTCGTAACAAAAGGGAGGGGGTCTGGACCCTCCAAGGCAAGCCGTTTCAGACCTCCCCTGTGGGAGAACCCTCCAAAACATCGTCCCCAGACCCCCCCAGGCCCTCCAAGATAGCTTGGAAAAGACCCCCCCCCTAAATGAGACCCCCCTCCCTTTATTACGAAATCTGGAGTACCCAGACAGCGCAGATCTGGACATGCGCGTGCGGCACGGACAGTGGTCCAGATGTCCAGATGAGGCTTTCGGAGCCTTGGGGGTGCCCCTTCGGGGCGGCGAGAGCGCCTCGGATGAGACTTCTTGCTTGGAGTGCCGAGAGTATGTCTGAGCGGCCCAAGCGGGCGCGATGGGTGAGCAATGCTCTTGGCATCGCTCGGCCGTGTGCACTTTTTTCTCGGCGAGGACCAGTGAGGAGCATGTTTGGGGCCACCTCGCGAAAACAGCACGCGCGAAACCGCAGCACGCACGGGGAACTTAGCGGGCGAAGATCGGTAGAACATGAATGGTTTCGCTGTCGGGGGCGCCTGCCCCAGGGCGGCTGGGAAGTCTATACCCTTGCGGTGGCACGTCAAGGCATCAACTTTCCAGCCGCCCTGGGACAGGCGCCCCCGACAGCGAAACTGCTTATAGTATACCGTCTTTCGCCCGCCAGGGAACGGACGTCCGAGCGATGGGTCGGCATTGGGGGCTCGTGGGGGGGCCGCCGGACGCCTCGGGGCCGCTGCGGGCGCGATGGCTCTGCGGGGCTCCGTTCCACTGAGGCTCGGCTGGGGCCGCCCCGTGGACGTCAGGGCGGGTTCTCGTCGGGCTGCCTCGGGGGCCTCTCGGGGGCGGCCTCTCGGGCCTTCCCGGGGCGCTCTCGGGCAGTCGCGGGGCCCAGGCGCCGGACCCCTCGCAGGGAGACAAAAGCTCACGGCGGGCTCTCCGTTGCAGTTTTGTGCCCTTCGGGGGCCTCTGCGTCAAGGGAGGGAAGACCACCCGGACCCGATAATTGGCGTTTACTCAGCGGCCCTGGGCGTCTGCTGAGCAGCCCTGCTTTGTTTTTGATGAATTCTTTGCGTGCGTTCACCAAACGACTTCGCATGCCGGGGTGATTCTTATGGGAGTGGATGCTCTGCTCTCTGCTTCGGGGCCCCGGCACCATTCAGAAAAGCCCCGGGCTGAAAAGTCGATCCCGAGCGACGAGCAGCGACGAGCAGGTTGTATTTACCACCGTGGGCACGTCGTGCGCAGGGCTACGGCATTGTGCGCGGGGTGTCTCCCAGTCGTAGTACCCGTGGTCTAACAATCGGTCGTTGAAAGTAGATATGTTTGAGTTCCCAGATTCCAATTGCGCTGAGCACCTTCCTACTGCAATGATCGAGTGGCTTCACCTTTTCCGTCCTCTGTAGGGGGCGGGCGGAACTCAATATTTTTCAACGTCTTCCATTTCAATTCATGTTTCGACATACTTCTTCCGACCGATGGGTAATGCAACCTTCGAATTACAGATTCATTGCTCGCATGTCGTCTCAAGACGCCTGTCCAGGGAAAGGGTCCAGACCTTTGGAGATGAAGCACAAGGCATCGGGTGTCTGGGGGGATGCTTCTTTGTTTCTCTGGGTACATATTGCCGATGCTCCTGCCGAGTCGAAAAGTGCGTCATGGGGTATTTCGTCTGTGGAAGAATGCTCGGCCGATCCCGCGCTTCGAACAAGTAATGAAAACGTGTTTCAGCTTTGCCTTCTTGTGCAAAGCATGTCGCGCTGGCGTCAGGTGAATGCCGCTGGCATTGTGATGCCGGTTGCCTTCGCCGTACCCCAGTTTCGGCACTGACGAGCGTGATTTGGTAGAATCCCTGAAGTTCTCCCGAGGCTGTCCGAATCCCAGATCCCTCGGGTGCATATCACATTCACTGGTTGTCGCAAGAGTTGTCGGCGCTGGTTGGTCTCCCCAGGCTTCGCTGCATGCCTGTGCGGGCGTCTCTTGGGCGCTTCTGGTGCCTCCGCAGCCACTACCGCCGACTGGCAAGGGAGGAGGAGAAGGAGGAGGAACTGTTCCTCCTCCTCCTCCACCTCCTCGTCCTCCTCCTCCTCCTCCGCCTCCGCTTCTGGTGCCTCGTGAACTTCACTTGGAGGTGAGAGCGCACCTGTGCTGAGTTTTCTCCAGGTCCTTTTTCCGAATGGGCCACCGTGCTCGCGCACGCCCGTCGCCAATCGTTGGGTTCGCCTTCATTGTGGAGGTGACAGCACGTTCTTTCGTTCGTTGGGGGCCTCCTGAGTCATCTCGGGGCCTCTTCGGGACATCTTTGAGTCCTCGGGGGCTGGTTCGGCGGTCTTCCGATTTGAGGATCCCGCCTCGTTAGGCGATAGCTTTCAGGGTGGCCCCGAGAAGACCCGAAAGGAGTTCAAACTTGTCTCCAGACGGCCCCCGAGGCTCCAAGAGCACCCCAACAGATCGAAAGGATTCAAAGGGGCCCTCAACTGGCTCCTAGATGCCTCCATGAGACTCCCAGGGGTCCCCACCTTGGCATTTTTGGGGGGGCTGCTCGGGGTGATCTCAGGTCCGATTTGCCGGGCGCCCCCCAATTTTTTCTTCATCATGTGACCCTTCGTTTTTTGTTCAGAGTGGCTCACTCACTTGCTCACAAAGGATGTCCAAAGGTTTCAAGGTGGCTCCCAGATGCCTCCATGAGGCTCCCAGAGGTTCCCACGATGGCAATTGTTTTGGGGGCTGCACGGGATGACCTCAGGTTCGCTTTGCAGGGTGCTCATCCACATGTTGTCTTCAAGCATTTGATCCACAAATTTCTTCACAATGGCTCGCCAAGCAATGGATTCTGGATGAGCCAGTGGGGATAATTTTTTGGTTCGCGGCTCCAAGGCGAGGGACAAGGAGCGGGCACAACGTCCGGGGCGCGGTACGATGTAAATTGGCCGCAGTGGCGTATGCACATGCCAAGGACAAAATGCCCCTCATTGAGACGCAGACAGCGTCGGCAGGTGACCGGCCCAGACATCCCGGCAGGTGGGGAAGCAAAGGCGCGGCGACCGGCCGGTGGGGATAAGCGAAGCGTAACGAATGTCAAGCACCTTCCCACCGCGTGTCTGGTCGTTCCCTACACGCCCCATCCCTCGCACCAAGCCATGTGCGGTGCGAAACACGCTTTGACGATGTGAGATCACGTTTAGCTGCCATCCACCAAGCATGTGAATTGCGCGTGAACGCGCAGCAGTTGTAGTATTGTCTCACTCCTTGCACGCTGGGCATCATCTGCAGTCGCACTATCGGTTCCACGATTACGGCGCGCGGACGCGTCTGATTCGACAGTTGACAGTTTCGTTGATGGGGCATGCGTTCGCATTGTGTGGGTGTCTGCTTGATCGCCCCGCGGTACCAGTCCTGCTGGCGCTTGCCGACCTCATCGTCGGTTGCGGCTCCGATCCCCGCGCGCATCCCCACCTGCGGCGGCCGCCCCCCCTGGGCACCGTCGGAGGAAGAGGAGGAGGAGGAGGAGGATGAGGAGGAGGAGGAGGAGGAGGAGGAGGAGGAAGAGGCGGAGGAGGAAGAGGAGGAGGAGGAGGAGGAGGAGGAGGAGGAGGAGTAGACGGCTCGATTCCCGGCAGGGTCCGGGGCCAGCCAGAGCCCGGCGCGGCGATCCGTGTTCGGCCCGGTCCGGGGCGATTCGTGAGCGATCCAAGCCGATTCAGCGATTCGTGTTGGCCCAGGCCTGCCGCTGCCAGTGCGCCGACCGCTGCGCATCCCCGAGGCGCGGCCCTGCCGACCCAGACCCCCTCGCGTAGTGAAAAAGCATGTTTTTGATCCGCGGGTCGAGAGCGCACCTCTTCCGGTCGTAGCTAAGCGGGCCGCGCAAGGAGGGGCCTCACATCAGGGCCAGGTGGGGGCAAAGCCCCAGAAGCGTTGTGAAAAAATAAGGCGGGAGGTATTTCCATATGTTCGGCCTCCGGAGTCCCTTGCCAGGCCCCTTGCGGGGCCCAGGGAGCGTCAAAAAACGCTTTCTGTGGAAAAATTATGTTCAGGGGGAAAGGTCCAGAATTCTGGGGGTCGACTTTCGGGGGCGGCAAAGAGGGGGGTGATGACTAGGGGTGTGTGGATATCATGACGGGGGCCATGATATTTCCCCAGATGTCATGGCGCCTCTTCTTATTCCATGACGTCCCTGGCCCCCCCGCTGGGCCGCGCACATGCCGCCGGTCATGATTTGCACCCCCCCTCATGGACACCCCCCTCTTGGCCGCTCCCGAGACTTCGCGAAGGAATCACGACGTCGGGGATGTGGTCGCCGCGCTTTCCGCGCCTCCCCCCCCCGCCGCCCAGGGCCGCAGCGCAGAGGCGGGGGCCAATTACGGGCTGCGCCTCGGCCCAGCGCTGGCGGACGCGGTGCGGAGGCGCGGGCAGTGGGCCCGGAGCCCCCTCCCGGAGACAGCGGTGGGCAGGTTCTGGAGTGTAGCTGTATCGGCGTCGGCCCAACATACTAACATTATGTCGGGCGTGTCCCCCTACAGGGGGATTTTCGATGAAAAATAAAAACAATTACAGCAAAAGTGTACCCAAAATGTAAAAAAATACACCCAAAATAGTCCCCATACTATTTTTGCATTCTTTTTCCATTATTTTTGGGGTATTTTTTATTGTTCGTTGAAAATCCCCCTGTAGGGGGACAGGCCCGACTTCATACTAACACTATGTGTGCGTCGCCCCCCCAGGGGCGACGCGCCCACCGAGAAGTCTTGGAGCATCGGCGTCGTGACGGGCGCTTTCTGGCCACGCCGCTCGGGCAACGATGCACTGCAAGACGGGTACACTAGATGTCCAGGTCGGACGCGCGCCTCCGCGGAGGACATACAGTACTATTCTGTCCGTCAGCATCCCATCAGGTGATCTTTTTTCATTCCTCGTTTTGCCGATCGGCGCGGGCCCTCGCTCCCCCCCTCCCCCCCCCCATGGAGTAGGTCCTGGCTGTTTGGGGCTCCTGCTTCGAGCGGGTGGAGCCTTCCCCAGGGGCAGCACTCTCACAAGCAGTCGCGCTACGCAGAGGTCCGGAGCCAGACCTCCCCCCCCTCCCCGCCGCCTTGCCGCCCAATGTCGAAACGCCGAGTCAGAAGACGCTCACCAGGGGAGGGCGCGTGGAGACAGGGCCGTTGGCCTTCGGGGGGGCGCAGCCCAGGCCGGCACTCAGTGGGCCCTGGAAACGACAGGGACGTTTTTTCACGGGTTCCGTTTTGCCATTTTTGTTGCCGGTTCCGACGCCGTTTTTTTTGGGGGGGTTCCGTCACCGTTTTTTGACCGGTTCCGGCTCCGGTTCCAATTCTGGAGCCGTTTTTTTGCCGTTTCCGGTCGCCGTTTTTTTGCCGTTTCCATTTTCAAGGGACATTTTTTGGAAACGGTGAAAAAACGGCCCTGCCGTTTCCGGGGCCCACAAACGGCCGGCAGCACTCTTGTGTACGTCGCCCGCGCGGCAGAGGCGAGGCCCGCGCGCCGGAGCGAGGCAGGGGCACACGTGCTCTGCGGAACCCGTGCTAGCAATAAAGATTGCAGCCGACATTGAAATTCGCAAATTATTTCCGTCTTGACGACGAATTCTGGTAGGAGATTATGTATACGCACAACTGCCAAAGTTGAATGCAGAATGCAATCTGGGGCTGGGTACACAAAATTCTTTGCAAAATGACGGAAATGTCTGGCAACGCGGAGGATAGCCCGCGTGCGGGAGGGAAGTGCAGAGACCCAGCGGATTCAGAAACGGCAGCGGCAACGCGGATTGGCCCGCGGGGCCGGCAGGCGATCGTTTGTTGATTCATTGTTGTGCCGATCGGCGCGGGCCCTCGCCCCCCCCTCCCCATCCCCCCCATGAAGTAGATTTTGGCTGTTTTTGGCGCCTGTTTCGAGCAGGTGGGGTCTCCCCTACAGGACGCACTGTTGCAAATGGTCGCACTAAACAGAGGTCCAGAGCCAGAGCCTTCCCCCCCCCCTTCCGCCCAATGTCGAAACGCCGAAGAAGAAAACGCTCACGAGTCCCAGGTGCCAATCTACTTGAAGCGCCTTCCTACTTCAATGATCGAGTGGCTTCACCTTCGCCGTCCTCCTTTGGGGGCGGCCGGAACCCAATCTACGTTCAGCGTCTTCCTGCTTCATGGTTTTACCTACTTCTTCCGACCGATGGGCAGCCCGCATGCGGGAAGGGAGGAGAGGGCCGGCAGCACAAGCGCAGTACAGAGACCCAGGGGGGTCACACCAGGTTGGGGCCTTGGGCCAGCCCCCTCTCGGGACCTCCAAGGCGACCCAGGAGATTGAGAAGGCCTTACGGCTGGTGCCTCCGACCCTGAAGACGACGACGGCGACGAGGAGGAGGAGGACGAGGAGGAGGAGGAGGAGGAGGAGCAGGAGAACCCTTTAGGGGCCTCCAGAGAGCTTCTTGGGGCCGAGGGCTCCAGCTGTCCGTTTCAGTCCTCCGTCTGGCGACTCTCTTGGAGCCGTCCTGGCGCTCTTCGGGAGGGTGGGAAGACTATCAGGAGGACGAGGAGGACCGGGGGGGGGTGGCGCTTCTGGAAAGCTGCAGAAGTCCCGCAGAGACACCTAACAGGTGTTCAAGCACGCATAAGGTGAGAGGGCACAAGGGCGCATCTATGATCAAGTCGGGCCTGTCCCTCTTCAGGAGGAAGATCCAAAAGTTGTCAAAAATAGTCTGGAGACGATTGTTTGACAATTTTGGTGTATTTTAGGTCATTGTTTCATTATCTTTTATTTTTCGTCCAAAATCCCCTTGTAGGGGGACAGGCCCGAATTAAATCCATGAGGAAGAGGGACGTCCGGGGACCCAGACCCCCTGGCGTCGTGGAAAATTCACGACGAGTGGTGTTCTGACGTGTTTGGCCTTCAGGCTTGAACGGGTCGGGGACCACCAAACATCGACCCAGGACGCAGAACTGGTGGTTACCAGAGGGTAGGTGCTTCAGCTACCGAGCCGGGTGTCCCAGTGAACGTTCTGGCCCATGTGTCGATGGAGGAGTGGGTCGGCGTTTGCAGTGGAAATGCTGGGGTGTCGCACAACAGGGGCGAAGCAGGGAGTAAAGCAAGGCAGGGTGGAAGGGAGAAGGGAGGGATAGGAGAAGGAGGATAAGCGGGGGGGGGAGGGAGACAACCCAGCTTAGGAGACAGGGCCGCTGGCGACGGCGACGGCGACGACGACGGCGAGGGCGACGACGACGACGACGACGACGGCGAGGGCGACGGCGACGGCGACGCGACGGCGGAGACGACGACGATGACGAAGAGGACGACGACGACGACGTCGACGACGACGACGGCGACGACGCTGAGGCAGTCTTGCAGGTCCTTTGGGGCCATCTTGGGCCGTCTTGGGGCTCTCTTTGGTTGTCTAGGGACTCTCGGCTGTCTGGTGCCTAGGGGCCGTCTTGAGAAGCCGAAAGGCTTTCTAAGGCCGTCTTTGGTCCCGCGGGAGGCCCTCGTGGGCCGTCTTGGACCTTGGATGCCCCTTGGTTCTCGTGGGGTCCTCTTGGGCCATCTTTGGACCCTCGTGCTGGCCTGCTGGGCCGTCTTGGTGCCATCGTGGGCTTCTTGGCCGTCTTGAGCTGACGGAAGCCCGAAAAGGCGAGACTGCGAACAAATCGCTCACAATCCCAAGAGAAACAAACCAGCAAGCTCGGCCCCTGCGGGCCCTACGGAAGTCCCCCTTTTGGGCCCTCCTAGAAGGCATCTGGGCTGTCTTGAGGCCATATTCCGCTGCCTTTGGGACATCTCGGCTTGTTTCCGAGGCATTCTGGGCCATCTTGATTACCTTCGTTGCCTGGCACTCTTTGGAAGCTCGGATCGAGGCCACATGATTCTTCTACGCGGGATTGTGGCCTCGGGACCTGGGAGCAGCGGGTATACATGCAGCTGTCTGGTGGTTCAGGGGGGGAGTCCCTCAGCAGCAGAGTGCAAAACCCGTCCGACGCCGCACCTGGCCTGCAAGACGACCGCGCCGCGCAGGCACGGTGGCGCATCGTTGTTGCACTCGCCAGTGTGCAGGTGCATGGCCGGCACCGCCGCCGCTCTGGCTCGAGACGCCCTTCCCCGCCGCCCCGTGCCAGCTCCTGCCCCCGGGCGGCTCCCCCTCCGCCGCGCGCTTTTGATCCCCACTCTGCACGCAAGAAATGGGTACTGAAAGAATGGGAACAATGCCCAACAGCGGATCTTGTTCATTTTGAACAGGGCTCGCTGTCCACGCCGCCGCGGCCAGTGTCCATTCGAGACAGAAGGCCGCCTGCCCAACAGCGGCTGCTGTTGGCTTGGGACAACATTTGTTGTTGGGCATAGTGTCCATTCTTTCCGTACCCATTTCGGGCGTCCAAACCCACCCGCGCCTCTCCCGAGCGGCCATGTCCCGCGACCGCCGCGCGCTGCGCAGGTTCCCGGGCCGGAAGCGCGTGGGGCGGCGCCGCGGCGGCCGCGCAGCGGGGGGGCCTCCCGGCAGCGCCCAGCAGGCGCCGGCGGAGGCGGAGCCCAAGGCTCGGGGATGGACAGACCTCCTGCCCTGACACGTCGATTAAGGAATTGGCCGTGTTCGGTGCGCGAGAGGGCGTCGCGGCCGTCATTCCTGCGGGTCCAGGTCCGCCAGTTTCGGTCCCAGGCCCTTTTCTCTAAAGGGTGGTTTACTGAAGGGAGGTTTATCCACCGCCGACAGGCGGCCCTGGCGCTGGCCTCGTGGCAGCTGGGGAGCGTGGAGGCGCTGCGGGAGGCCATGCGGTGCGACGGCGAGCAGCTCCGTGCCGGCTTCGCCCGCGACAGGCGCACGCGGGTGCGGGCAGTGCAGGCCCTGTTCGCTGCTATGCGTGCGGAGGCCTTCGGCGGTGTCAAGAGGCTGGTGTGGGCCTTTCTGGACGAGCCCCGGGTCTGGCAGTTCCTCGCGGATGCGGGCTGGACGAGTTGCGACGACGCCGTCCAGGACGCGCTGAACGACGCCGAAAAGAGGGGCCTTGGGCAGGTGGAGATCTCCACCTCGGTCTGGACCCACCAGTATTGCCTCGAGGACATGTCCCAGACAAACGTCCAGACTGGCAGGTGCCGCCTGCTGCGCCGCGTCAGCCCGTGGGCGCCCGTGCTGTCGGTGTCCCGGTGGCAGTACTCCACGCGGTTCGGCTGGAGCGACTGCGACCTGGAGATGCATGGCTTGTTGGCGGAGGCTCTCGCCGAGGCAGGACTCGTTTCGATTCCTCCGATTGGATTCGATTCGACTTCGAGGGCTTCCGATTCCGACTCGATTCGATTTAGGATTCCGATTTGGGTTCCGATTTGTCATTGGAGGCGTACTAGCCTCTCGATGTCCGCCGATCCGGCTTTTTCCGACTCGGTTGCCGATTTCCGCCGATCCGATCCATTTCGATCGCCGATCCGATTCGATTCGGGGCTCTCCTGCCGAGGCGGAAGCGCTGGGCGAAGCGGTCGTGCGTCGCACAGTTCGCGGCGCAGAGTACGACTTCGACTTGCAGGCCCTCACGCAGGCCAATGTACACACCGGGCGCGTGCGGGCGCTCCGGTATGGTCCTCCAGTGGTCGGCAGTGGCCCGTGAGCGGTCAGGCGTGAGGCAGTGCATCTCTATGAAGTGCTGAGGCTGCGCTCGGGGGCGATGCGAGAGCGCAGCCCAGAGGACGAGAGGAAGGACTAGACGGATGGGAGAATCGCGCTTACATCGCCATCAGTATTGTCGTCCCGCGAGCCCCAATGGTCGGTAGAAATTGCTTCGAGGTGTACAGGTTGTACAGATGCTGGGCAATAGTGTACAGATTCCAGCTCGAAGTGGCCGCGCGAGGACGAGCTGAGCGTTCGCACTCTCGGCATCAAAACAAGCATAATCCAGGAGCCTGCGGCAGACTGTACTTGCGTGCTTGCGCAGCACTCTTTGTCTTGACCTTTGGAGAACCACCCAGAAGGCTGTAGCATGTGGCAGCTCGTCTTGTCCCCCGAACTCCAGAGGGGCAGCAGCGTGCGTCGCGCTGTTCCGCAGGCCCGATGGTGTGGTTGTCCTTCTCGGGGCCCAGACTGCCGTGGCACGCAGCACCTGCCTTTCACAGTTCACAGATGGACGTGACGCGTAGCAATCCTCCTACTCCTTCTCCTCCTCTTGCTCCTCCTCCTCCTCCTCCCTCCTCTCCTCCTCCTCCTCCTCCTCCTCCTCCTCCTCCTCCTCCTCCTCCCCCTCCTCCCCCTCCTCCTCCTCCTCCTCCTCCGCCTCCTCCTCCTCCTCCTCCTCCTCCTCCACCTCCTCCTTTTCTCCCTCCTCCTCTTCGTTCCCCAGATCACAGAGGGGCGTAACGCGTACCCATCGGTCATTGAAAGTAGGTCCTTGTTTTTGGATTCCCATATTCTAATCTACGTTAAGCGCCTTCCTACTTCAAGGCTCGAGTGGCTTCACCTTTTCCCTTCTCCCAAGGGGGCGGGCGGACACCCACTTTACTTTCAACGCCTGCCTTCTGCATGGTTCTACCTACTTCTTCCGACCGATGGGTGACAGTTCGTTTTCCCCAGCAGGGAGCGCCCTAACATGTGACATTCGGTTAGCCATGGCCTGGAGTGCCGCAGCATGCGACGTCGGGGGCGCTTTGCCTCCTGCGGCCTGCTGGAGGGCTCCTGGGGAGCATCTTCTGGCTTCTTCGGAGCCTGCTCGGGGGTCTTGCTGGCAGTCTTGGACGGTCTTGCGGCCGTCTGTTGTGCTGCTCTGCGAGCCGTTCTGGAGGTTCCTGGAGGCCTCCAGCGGCCGTCCCGGGGCAGTCTCGGGCTCGCCCCGAGGCCGGTTCCGGAGGGTGATGGTTTTTGTTGCATTGTTTTGCCGATCGGCCCGGGTCTTCGCACCCCCTCCTCCCCCACCCCCCCATGGAATTCGGGCGCGGAAAAGAGGGGGGCCTCAAACCACGACAGCCAACATCATGCAGTGGCAGCCGCGCCGTCACAACAATGTAGCCGACCACATTGCAAACCACGTCCTCGAGAGCAAGATCTCGTGGTCCTGGCAGGAGGTTTCGTCCGTCCAGAGCAACCCATCGCGTCTGACGTTCTGCTGCGACGGCGGGCTCTCGTCTGGCATCGGAGCCTCTGCGTACGTTCTCCTGGGTATGAATGACGAGAGCGGCGCCCTAATGGCTACCGGGGGCGCATACTTCCAAAGCTGCAAGAGCACCTTCGAGGCCGAGGTCGTCGCCTTGGACACGGGTCTGAGAGCTCTTCTGAACGCCTTCTCTTCCTCCTCTGCCGGCCCTCTCGTCCCCTCCCCTCGTGGTTCCAACAGTTTTACATAGCACACAGCGCCGCCAATCTGTCTCCGGAGAGGTATAGCACAGGCAGTCCATGGACTCGAGCCGGAGAAAGAAAGAAAGAAAAGAAGGGGGTGATGACTAGGGGGGGGGATTCCATGGCGCGGGCCATGATTTTTCCCCAGATTTCACGGCGCCTCTTCTTGTTTCATTGCGTCCCAGGCCCCCCCGCTGGGCCGCGCACGTGCCGCCGGTCATGATTTGCACCCCCCCCTCTTGGACACCCCCCTCTTGGCTGCTCCCGAGATCGGCGCAGGTCCTCGCACCCCCTCTTCCCCACCCCCCCATGGAGTAGATCTTGGTTGTTTCGGGCGCCTGCTTCGGGCAGGTGGAGCCTCCCCACAAGGGACGCACTGCTGCAAACAGTCGCGCTGGGCAGAGGTCCGGAGCCGGACCCGCTTTTCTTCCGCCCGATGTCGAGACGTTGGATAAGAAAACGCTTACGAGAGTTGATGCCGTTTGCTCCTTGCGTCGCTTCGGGTCCTCTTGGGATGAATCGCGGCGTCATCTTGGGGGTCCGCGCGGCCTCTTGGCACGAGAGAGGGTAACAGACTGAATACGTAGCAATACTTGACTCATTATTTGCGTCTGTGTGTGCGTGCGTGCGTGTGCGTGTGCGTGTGCGTGTGCGGGTGCGGGCGTGGGTGTGGGTGTGTGTGTGTGCGTGTGAGTGAAGCTTCTGAGGGTCTCCTCGAAGGCCTCTTCGGAGCCTCCTGTGCCTTCTTGGCCGTGTCTGCTTGGTCGCCTCCTAGGGCACCTTGGGCCCCTCTTGCAGTTTTCTCGGGGTCTGCTGGGCCACTCATGAGGCCATGTTAGGCCATATTTGCAGACCCTCCCCCGCAAACCCCTCTGAGCCGCGGTCGCCTGTGTAAAAACGCGTCGCGCGGTGACCTCGAGAACCTCGCGAACCTTTGCCTCCGGTAGGCGCCCCACGCGAGACGGACGTGGCTTGGCGACTCGAGGGCCCCACCCCCGTCGCCACGCCGAGGCGCAGTTCGAGGGGTTGGACAGCATGAGACGTAGGAGGGGGTCCACGGAGCGGATACCGTGGAAGCACACACACACACACACACACGCACATATATATATGTATATATATATATATAACATGTGTATATACGTATGCACGGGAACAAAAAGCGGCATGAACACAAAAACTCGGAGGTCCGCGCGGATTCCTCGGATCGGCGCTCGGCCCCCCCTTGGCGCCGCTTCCGGAGGGGATTCCAGGCCAGATCCCAGGAATTTGCGCAGAACGCCAACGGTTTTTGTGGTGTTCTTTTTGATATACATTATACATTACACACCCCGATGTACAAATACCACCAAATGTACATTATACACACCCCGATGCCGATGCCCCCCACACTTCTCCCAGGGTGCGTCCTGACCGGGGCCCAGCCGCGGCGACGAAGGACGTGTGCAACAGTGCGGGCGACGCGACAGCTCCTCTTCTGGGCGCGCTCGCTTGCGCGAGCGCGCCCAACACTGGGCGCGCCGCCACTCGGCGCGCGCCCGCGCGCGGACTCGTAGGGCTCGCTTCGACCCCCCCGATTCGATTCGATCTCGCCGGGGTTGGCGGGGTGGCGGGTTGGCTGGGGTTGTTGCGGGGTGGCTGGTTGGGCTGGTTGAGCCGGTTGAGTTGTTTGGGTGGCTGGTTGGTTGGAATGGCTGGTTGGGCTGGCTAGGGCAATTGGTTTCTATTCTACACACCCCGATGTCGATGCTCCCCACACTTCTCCCAGGCTGCGTTCTGACCGGGGCCTTGCCGCGGCGACGAAGGACGTGTGCAGCAATGCGGGCGACGCGACAGCTCCTCTTCTGAGAGTCCAGTCGGGACGGCGGGCTTCGCAGGAGCGCTCGCTTGCGCGAGCGCGCCCAACGGTGGGCGCGCCGCCACTCAGCGCGCCGCCCGCGCGCGGACTCGTAGGGCTCGTTTCGACTCCCCCGATTCGACTCGATCTCGATGGTTTCCGATTCCGATGCGATTCGACTTCGGATTCCTTACCAGCCTCGAACGTACCCCTATCCCTAAGATTGACACGCCAAAAGGCGATGGTAATCTTAGGGATTCGCCCTCAACAATTAAGGGAATCCCTAAGATTGGTATCGTGATGAGGAGGTGCCCAGCATAGGGATAGGGATATGTTCCAGGCTGGTAGTAGGGCTTGTTTCGATTCCCCCGATTCCATTCGATCTCGATGGCTTCCGAGTCCGATGCCGATTTCGATTTCGATTCGACTTCGGGTTCCGATCTGTACGCCGATTCTCTTCAGTGGAGGCCTGCTGGCCTTTCCGATTCCTGCCGACTCGACTTCCCCCGACTCGGCTGCCGAGGTCGGCCGATCCGACTCGTTTTGATCGCCGATCCGACTCGTCGATGTCGGGCGCTCCTGGACTCGGCGCCGCGCGCGCCAGGGCGCGGCGTGCGAGCAGCCAGGCGGCGGACGGCGCGCCGGCTGCCGCAGGCCACGGGGGGGGGGACGCCCTCTGCTCGTCCGCGGGGGCCACCGGGCATCACCCAGACGTGCACATTGTTCGTCGGAGAGGCCAGCGCCTAAATACAGTCAACGCGCATAGTAAGGACTCGCGCCTCTTCTAGGGTACCCTTGTGTCCTTGCCTCTGCGGCCCGTCCTTTGCTGTTTCCCCTGGCCAGCCTCTCAGGCCGCCGCCCAACAAATCCCAACCTCGGCCTCCAAGGGTCTCGCGTCCTTACCACCCGTCCTTACTATACGTTTTCACAGTAGGTGAACGAACAATGACATAAACATAGTAAGAGTTCCGAGGTCCGCGCGGACTTCTCGGATCCGCGCTGGGCCCCCCTGGCGGCGCCTCCGGCGCCCCCTCTGGCGCGCTCCGTGCGCCAGGGAAGGGGGGTCCAGCGCAGATCTCAGAAATCCTCTCGGAGCGCCAACAGTGTATGTTTATGCCGTTTGGTGTTGTTCTTCTTCTTCTTCTTCTTCTTCTTCTTCTTCTTCTTCTTCTTCTTCTTCTTCTTCTTCTTCTTCTTCTTTTAAAGAAGCACTAATCGTCTTTGATATGTTTCTTATTCATTGTTTTGCCGATCGGTGCGGGCCCTCGCACCCCCCCCCGCCCCCCCCCATGAAGTAGATCTTGCCTGCCATGGGCGCCTGTTTCGAGCAAGTGGGGTCTCCCCCGAAGGACACACTGCTGCAATCAGTCGCGTTAAGCAGAGGTCCGGAGCCAGACCCCCCCCCTCTACCCCCCCCGCCCAATGGCGAAACGCCGAATAAGAACGCGTTAACCTTGGAGCGCCTTGGATCATGTGCATTGCTGGGGGACAAGAACACGCAGGATACCAAACAACGCACGGGGAGTGTGCGCCCGATGCATGCGCCAGAGCGATGGCAAGTTCAACGATGTGGCCCTGGCCGGGGGGGCAGCGCGAGGGAGGGCTTGCTCAGGGGTGGACGCATCGAGCCCACACCGCCCACCAAACGACGATGGGGGCCCGCTGGCCCACGCCACCTAGGAGCGTGTGGGTTCGCCATCGGGAGCCCATCACCGATCTATTGGCGACGCATCGCCGATTCCAGCTCGACGTTTCCCCCTGAGCCGGTCCACCCCTGGCGCTCCCCCTCGTTTGAAAGACGGGGCCTCAAGGTATCGGCAGGGGCTTGCAGGCCGAGCCCGCGTTGGTCAAGGCAGCCGCGCTCCGGGGCCCCAGGTCTCAGGGCTCCGTCTCTCAGCTGCCGTGCGTGCACGTTGGTTGTTGCCCGCGGTGTCCTTGGCCCCATGGGTGCCCCGAGTGCTCTACGGGAAGGTCCCTGCGGCATCCCAGGGCACCCTCCACGAGGCCCAGAGTGCCGCGGCACTTCCAAACCAGCACGAGAACTTGGGGACACGTTGGGCCAGAGACACCGGCGGCACCCCCCGAACACGGCAAGGCCACCCGCTTCGCTGTCGTCTCCGTTCGGCAGTGTCAGGTTCCGAAGCGCCGCGCCGCACTTCTGCCCATCGGTTCGGTGCTCTAGCGAGCACCTGGGGCTTGGCATCGCTCGGACGTGTGCGTTTTTTCCTCGGCGAGGGCGATCGAGGAGCATCCTGGGACACCTTGCGAAACAACATGCACGCACGAAGCCGAACATGCACGGGAATGAACGTCCGAGCGACGGCGAGGGGGAGGCGGGCCCAGGAAGAACAGCAGGGGCGGTCGGGTGGGGGTGCGGGCAAGACTTGTGTCCACATCCACTGAAGCTTGGAGTTTCGGGCTCCCTTCCCCAGAACCCCGAGGAGCACGGGATCTGGATCAGAGTCTGGTAAAGGCTCGATGTTTGTCCATGTCCAGTGCGCCTCGGCCTTGCGGCGCCATTCCCAAGAAAGCCCTAGACGCATTGTATATGGATATACATATTGCCCGCGGGGGGAGGGGGGCGGAGGTTGGATTTACAGTGGAGACCCAAGCCAAGAAGCACCCTGCTTGCCTCCAGGGTGCCCTGGGTTTCTTCGGCTTCGATGGTTTTCATATGGGAAGCGTGACGTTCCCGCACCAAACATATATGGGCGTCCTGGGGTCTCAGGGTTGGGTTTCTCGTAGAAGGTTTCTTGTGGTCGAGCCCCTGCTGTATCCAGTGCGCCTCGGCCTTGCGGTGCCGCTTCCAAGAAAGCCCAAGAAACATTATGTGGATATGAATACGGAGATGGGACGCATGGACGCACGGAGCAGGAGGGAGACCGTGGACCGAGGCGTCGCCTGGGGGGCCTGTGAGGGCCTCACGGGGGCCTCTTGAGGCCTTCCCGCTCCCCTCCCTGCATGGTGGCACAATTCGCTGTGACCGCATCCCCGTTTCGGCTCGATCCACTCGTCAACGCAGGCGTCCCCTGCCTAGCCGCCGACGCAAAACGTTTCGACCCGCTTCTCCCGACCTGCGCGTATTTGGGCCCCTTTCAGACAGGTGCGAATTGTTGCCTTAAATTTGACTCCTGGGGAGGAGCGGGTGCGGCGAGCTGCCGTCCAGGGTAAAGGACCTGGACCGCCGCCGGGGAGACCGCCTCGCCAAGTGATGCGGCTCGCTGAGACAGCAGCGCGTGCCCATCCGAGGCCCGAAAACCATCACGTCACTAATTTTGGGCCCCAGGGCCCATGGAGGCCCCAGGGGCCCCAGATTAGTGAAGTGATGTTTGCTCCCACGTAAGGACCACGAAATTCATCACTTCACGATACCGAACCCAGGACGAAAGTCAGGGGTCGAATGGCTGCCGTGATGCAACACAGGTCTCGCAGCCCAGTGTAAGGAAACTCTCGCACCTGCCTATTGGGCCAGCTGGGGGGCCCCTTCTTCCGCACGGGGCGCGCGGAGCGCGGCCACGCGCGGACCCGAGGCCGGCCGCCCTCCGCGCCGCTGGGGCCCGCGGGGAGGCCTTCGGCGGCCCCCCGCGCGGCGAGGCCGCGCCCTGCCTCCGCGCGGCCTCCCGTGATGGGCCACCTTTCCACCGCCGACACCATAGGTAGGAGGGGGGGGTGGGCGTCTTCTTCCTCCTTTTCCTCCTCCTCCCCCTCCTCCTCCCCCTCCTCCTCCTCCTCCTCCTCCTCCTCCTCCTCCTCCCCCTTCCTCCTCCTCCTCCTCCTCCTCCCCCTCCTCCTCTCCTCCTCCTCCTCCTCCTCCTCCTCCTCCTCCTCCTCCTCCTCCTCCTCCTCCTCCCTCCTCCTCCTCCTCCTCCTCCTCGGCCTCCACCTCCGCCTCCTACCTATGGTGGTGGTGGTGGAAAGTCGGCCCGTCCTCTCGGGGGCGGCGCGGGTCGCCCGCGCCCGCGGAACAAAAAAGGGCCGGGACGCGGCGCCCCGCCCCGCTGCAGTCAGGAGGGAAAGAAGCACACCGCCGCAGTGAATCGTCGATCCCCAGGAATGCACGCGACATGACGGGAAGTGCGGGGAACGACGAAGTCCCAAACTATCTAGGAAATAGGGTGGCGCGGCGCCTCCCTCGCCCCACTGCAGTCAGGAGGGAAAGAAGCACTCCGACGCAGTGAATCGTCGATTCCCAGGAATGCACGCGAAATGACGAGAAGTGGGGGGGACGACGAAATCCCAAACCATTCAGGAAATAGGGGGGGGACTTGGGATTTGACTGGATTCGTTCGTGTGCCCCTGGGCCCCTTCATACAGTCGGACCGAGATATAGGGTCGAGGTCGACTCGGGGAGTGGACTCAGAGGAGGAAAAGGTATCCATACCTCTACACCCTTCGCCCGTTGTCCCCTCGTCGCCTCTGTTGCATTCGCTTTGAAAGTCTGATCAGAACGCCCCCCCGGAGAGGTCTGGGGAGCAGCGGCATCGGTATTCTTTGGTTCCCCAAAGAAGTTCGATGTCGTTCCGAGGAGGGTGCCCTGATGTTGTCTGTGCGTTTTGGATATTCTTTGTGCGCCCTTGGGAGTGTAGGTACCATTTGGACATCATGTGCGTGTTGGCTGGCGGAAGGTCTCGTGTTCTCGAGGGGTGCTCTTTTGCTTTAGGTTAAGGTCGGGCATGTTCTCCTAGATACGGATTTTAGGAAGACCAATGCAACATTGGCAAACAATGCTCCAAAACAGTTTAACAATAATCGAAGCATCGTCCCCAGAACATGTTTTTGTTTATTTTTAAGTATTCTTCCTGTAGAGGGACAAGGCTGACGCTTCGCATGGTGGAGTTCCCTTTCCTTCAGTGGGAAAGCTGTCAATGTTCATAACCCTCGTCTGGCGCTCATGTGAAAAACAAGTAAAAACAACCAACCACACATCCTCCTGTAGAGGGACATGCCCGAATCTTAGCTTCGACTGTAGGGCAGCGAGGTCTACATGCACGTTCCTGGCCCCTGGCCTGGCCAACCCTGGGCCCATGACCGGCGTAATTACATGCACCCCGTGGCTACAGGCCAGGAGGGCCAGGGGCCCCTACCGGGACCCTGGGCCGTCAAAAAACGATTACGATTCAGGATGAAAAACTGG